TCATTATTCGATATTCGGCGAATAGTGATCTAAATAAAATAAACTTATATTAAACGGACAGAAAATAAAGATAAATACAAAAAACAGACAAAATAATTACTTGTATTTATCTTTTAAATAAAACACACATAATATTAATATATAATCATCACTAAAAATATAAAAGTTAGCAAAAAATCAGTCATGTTGAAGTTAATAAGGCTTTTCAATTAATATTCAAAGTCTAAAAGAGGCAGATTGTGTTCAGAAAAACTAATTTTTCTGCACGACTGGGATCGAGTCGGTTGCACTTTTTTCGTAAACCAAACCTGCCTCAGAAAATAGTCTTTCTGAATAAACAGAGCTTGCTGGTGTGACTTAGTATAGTTTAGCAAGCTTACTTAAAATTGGGAATCGATTCTTATTGGTACTCAAAGATCACCATACATATGGGTTTATACTTCTGTCAGCCTTTGCTAACCTGATGTAGTTGGCAATTTCATCAGCAATGGCATTATTGGGTTACTCTTCATTAGGCTGCACTGTTCACGTAGATTTAGATTCTTCGAAACATGGCCAAAATAGTTCATGAGTTTCTGAAAAGACATCCCCCTTTTCATTGCCTAAGCGAGATCTTTTGGACGCCATTTCTTACACAAAATAAGGTTATTCCCCGTAAAATATTATGTTACGTTGCCATGATAATAGTCATAATCTTAGATTTTTTTTAGATTACAGTAACATATAAATGATAGATAAGTTCAAGAGACTACTACAAGTGTAATATTACTATTTGATAACAAATAAATTATTTTGTATATTGCTTTTTTATGTCGAATAATAATAGCGAGTATTCGACTATTCGTTATAAGAATTGGCGAGTAATCGTTATTCGACTATTCGCCATAACACCTATTCGCGGCATCTCTGGTCCTAAGTGACACAAGGTATAACTCGCGGCCGCGAGCCCTGAGTCGGATGAAGCTGTAAGAGCCGCATAGGCTGACAGCACAAACATCTCGAAAATAGACAAGCTATAAAAACTATTACAGTTATTACGCTTATCTTTTCATTGGAAGAATACTGACTTTACCAAATTAGAAGACTTCGCTGAAGTTCGATACTCACGACTTTATTACCTCGTTTTTATTAACTAGCTTTCGTGTACATCTGTTCGAGTTGAATTTAATAATTCATTTTAAAGTAACTTCCCGACGAGCTAGAGAAATTTAAAGAAAAATTTTTTTTTTTATTTTAGCTTTCTTCGTTTTATCCTAATTATAGAAGTAATTAAAAAAAAATTTTTTTTTTTTTTTGGTTCTCATTATGTCGTATGGTATTTTGCTATGGGGACACGCGACTGACACTGAAATTATATTTATTTTACAGAAGAGAGACATTAGAGCATTATATAATTTAAAACCAAAAGAGTCACTGAGACAAAAATTTAAGGAAATTAATATATTAACTCTGGCCTCTCAATACTCGTACATTTATGAAAATGTAATGTATGTACACAAGAATAAACGTAGTTTTCCAAAAATAGTAAAAGTAGTAATATTCATTCTGTAAATACTAGGAACAGACACAAGCTAGTTGGTAGTACCCTTTGAGTATTCTTGGTTTAATACTCAAAGGTAGTACCAGTTACTCGATTCCAGTGAGTCAGTAATTCATTCTTGGGGCGATGTATACGCTTTTACAACAAAATCCCAGAAAATATACAAAATTTGTCATACGCAAAGTTCAAAAAGTTTATTAAACTAAGTTTGTATAAAAAGGGTTATTATAACATTAAGGAATTTATGGATGATAATAACCCCTTGGAAGGGTGATCGCTACCAAGCTATTTCTAATGTGTCTTGTGTTGTTAATTGTAAACATGATTGTAAGCTATTATTTGATAAAAAAGTCCCGCTGGGTTTCTTGCTGGTTCTTCCCAGGACAGAGGTTTTTTTTTTGCGAACCAGTGGTAAATGAAAAAATTGACCTTCAATAAGTATTGTTAATAATCTACATTGAATAAAAAAGTTTCTGTTTCTGTTACTGTCGCCATAAAATTTCTCACTAATATTGCTTAATCAAAACTTAAACAAAATAAAACTCGTAACGGGCTACGTAAAAATTTTAGTAAGTGATACAACTAAGGACCCCCCGCAGTGACGGTGTTGTCTACAATAACATCAAGCGCACAAGTTTCTAATAATAACAATAACAACTTTACTCAATGATTAAACTGTGTGATAGTCGAATATGGTACTTATTGTAAAATAGCGAACCAGCTAATATTTATATACATAAAATTTTGAATGTGTATGTTGTTTATTGGCAATCTATTGAGCTAATAGTGTTAGTATTAGCGGTCTCTGATCATTAGAGCAATTAGTTAAAGCATTGTGTAATTTTAAAATATAATTACAAAAAATAAATGGGGGTTCTTAAGTATAGCTAGAAATGACGGTGGTTTGAATAAATCCTTAGACGTAAATCAGCATTGAAAAATTATTCTAAAATTAAACAATTATATTCGGTATACATTATGTTAGCCTATAGCAGTTAAAATAATTAGACTGAGCTACCTGAAATAAAATTCATACAAACTAATACCAATACGTAGATGTATTGGTATTAATTTGTATAAATTCTACTGAATTACTCTGCTCCAATGTTGTTTTACTTTCTCACATCTCACATCTCCAGTGAATATCGATTTTGTATACTCGTATCTAACTGTCTGGTTTCGTGATGGCGACATCAGCCGAATGTTTTAGAGGCTACCGACTACAGCAATATTGTAACGGCACAAGTATACACTCATTCGTCCTAGTGTACTAGTGCCTGATGTAAAGCTCATTCGTCCTAGTGTACTAGTGCCTGATGTAAAGCTCATTAGTCCTAGTGTACTAGTGCCTGATGTAAAGCTCATTAGTCCTAGTGTACTAGTGCCTGATGTAAAGCTCATTCGTCCTAGTGTACTAGTGCCTGATGTAAAGCTCATTAGAATATATGGGTAATAAATAAACGAGCGATTAGCCATTGCACATAGAGTTTCTCTTGATGATGCCTCGTTTAAAGTCCAAAAAAACGTATTAAAGACGCCGGTTTGTGTTTGTTATTAGGAGAAATGGTATTTGGGCTTAGTGGGCCATTTTGTTTTTAATCTAAGCTTGTACCCAATATCTTCTTGTAGGTGTCTTAAGAGGCGAAAGAGAGAAACTTAAACAGGTAAAGGGCAGCAGCATGGCAACAATCATCAACCAACCAACACACCTTCCTGACAACTAAAATAATAAAAAATTTACTGCGAAAAAGTAAAAAACCTTAAGTTGCCAACCACAGAGTGGCAACTAAGGTAAGAGCCCGCTATGAGAGAGGAAGCCCGCTATGAGCGAGCTATGAGGGAGGCTTATTCATTAGGTATGTTCAGCAGCTGACTTCTAATATCTGTAATGACAGGTCTAGAGTCTAGACTGTCATCAGGACTAACATAAAATATCCAGCCTGAAAAACAACAACTTGTACACATCTTGCTGGTATTCTAATCCAAGATACGCAACGCATTGGCTAACTACTTTAAAAAACTGTGAGATTAGATACACATCCTACATCGAAACCCAAAATCACACTATGTAAGCAAAATTTTGTAATTACGCAATCTATTTCGAAATTCTGCTATCTTAGTAAGAAATTGAAGCAACACCAAAGTAAATAAAAAATAATCTTTGAAGGTAGATTTACGTTTGACTTGATTGTGTTATAATCATAATGTAGATGTAGGAGATGATATTATTTTCATCAAACACCCCCGAATTTCTCAATTGAAGAGTTAACAAAAGCTACTATTAGCTTTTGTTTCTACTTTAAATCACACTATAATAATATATTCTTAAGTAATATAAGAAATATATTGAACTTTATTTTCTCTGCAAACAAAATTATCGTTTCATCGGCCTTTACAAAAATGTCTGTTAACATTTGAAACGAAGTCATGTCACGACCCGTATTCACGATCCCGATGTCTACCAAAACAAATAGTTCATACACGATCGGTAGCGACTAGCGAAAGTTGTAGATGTTTACATGACTCATGATCGTAACTCAGTCACTGTCTGTGCGTATGTGCATGTGTAACGACCTCACTCTCAGTGATTGTTGTAAGTACAAGCATTTCCTTGTACACAAACATTTCGCGTAAAAAGTAGAATGTATTCCAATATATACCATGATAAAACAGTCGGCACTAGATTTTTATTCAAATAAATTAATTTGCACTGCGATTAACTTACGAGATATGCACGTCTATCCGTCATTTTTACGTAATTCATAAGCTACTTAAGAATAAATAAAGTATTTTTGTTTCATAAATAAAATCCTGATAGTAATAAATATACATTTGTACAATAGTAGTATAGTAATCTTATAGTAATAGAGCCGTGGTAGCTTAGATGGTTAGCGCTCGCTGTAAATTTCGCAGTACGCGAGCAAACCGGGTTCGATCTCCGTCAGCACCAACGAAATTGTTAATTGTAATTTTAACACTTAGTGCACCACCCTGAGTCCACGGGACTCACCACCACTTTTAAACAACAAAAAAGTAGTTTATTTTTTAGAGTTTAGACTTGCGCTTTCTAGTACCTTCCTGCGGTGAGGCGCGGGGCGCAGAGGTGAGCGGTCGCGTGCGCACGTCGTTCGGAAAGGTAAATATGATCGAGTGTGAGTCCCAGGGACTCATGGTGGAGTGTCGTGTGACACAAATGGATTTACTGACTTTTTTGTTTATCTATGTTAATTTTGTTTTAGGCTTTTACTATGGCATCTAAACGTAGAAGGATTGTATCGGTAAACTTTGCCTCAGATATCATAAATGAATGGCTTTTTTCATAGAAGAGGAGGCAAACGAGCATGCGGCTCACCTGATGTTAAGTGACTACCGCCGCCCATGATCAGCCGCAACACCAGGGGAATTGCAGGTGCGTTGTCGGCCCTTTAAAAAGGAGTAAGCTCTTTTCTTTTCTTGAATGATGCTGCAAGAATATGATTTACTGGGCGAAGATGAGAAGATTGGCGATGGCAGTGGTTATGCAGCTGAATGTATTCGTGAGCCACATTCTGATAACGAGGACGCCGATTATATTGTGAGTGATCACGGCACCAATTCCGAATGCTCCGAGACTGAAGAACTCCTATTCTTCTTTTCTTTCCTGTTCTACTGTTTTTTTGAACTTCTGTACTATCCTTAGTAACTCGGACAACATACCATGCCTTAGACATTCCTGATCATTCAAGTACAACGCAAACTGATGATATTTTACCGAGAGATCAGCGCAAATATTGCTATACTTGCAATCACAAGAAACGAACAAATACTGCTTATCTTTGCACTGTCTGTAAGAAGCCGCCTTACTTGTTCCAAAAAGATATGCCAAGAATGTGTAACACATTAGTATATTGACTTATTGCAAGTTTTGAAATTTTATATAGTGCCATTATTAATTATTATTATTTTTAATTATCTCATAATTTCTTCTTTAAGAAAAAATATTTTATTTCGTCCAAGAGCTACAACATTAATTTTTTCTTCTGTAAGTCGTAACAGACGATTATTGATGACTGTTAATTTTAAAGTATTTGTAAACTGCATGTTAATTTGAGTTTATCACAAAATGTTACCCGATATGTACGAATTATTGTGTTTGCTAAAAGTCTAATAAATAACAACATCAATAACATCTTTCGTTTGGTTTTTATTTAAAAAGTTAAAACATGAGTCCCGGGGACTCATGGTGGTGATAAGTGATATTTTAATTAGGATGGTAAATCAAGGGTTAAGTGCTGATTTACCAAGTGCTCGCCGGTGAAGGAAAAACATCGTGAGGAAACCTGCATGTCTGAGAAATAAGAAAGAAAATATTTCGAAAACATGTGCAGTTCGCCAACACGCATTAGGGCATCGCTGCGGACAATTCCTTGCCCTAAAACCTTCTCAGAAAGGAGCGGATGCCAGTGCCCAGGAGTGGTACGTATATAGCACAGTCTATAATATGTCTTTATTATACTGTGTATATAGGCTGTAGCTTTAACTTTACCGAAATTTTGATTGTTGCTTCTAATGGTAACATTAAAATCACTTACACACATTTCATTTACTAATTCTTTGTATTTTAATGTACAATACTTAGGGGTTTCACTAGCCGATGAAAGGTCTAACAATACCTTCTTTTTCTTTAATCTGTGAAATTGCGTCTGGCATAAATTTATTAATGAATATTATATCATTTACAATATCCTACTTATATCCCTTCTTTGATACCCGCGTGAAATATGTGCGATTTAAAACTATTTTGGAAGTGCAAATTGCGTCCATTTGAAACTTAAAATGCCTAAGTACTCGTATTAAACGCAAAAGCTCCATTAGTCCATTACATGTACGAATATAACTACTTACATTTACATTTAATACCTGATTTAAATAAAGAAAAGAACAAAAAATTTTGAAGGATGTAAAACATAAAGCTGACAAAACTTTGCCCAAATATTTGTTTTAATTTATTGTCTTTATCTAATTATCTTATAACGCGTACCTAATTCACGAAAACCCAAGGTTGGACCAAGTACCCTAAGGAGACCCTTGTCCGGCAGAAGATATTTGATCAACCTGATATTAAAATATTCACAGCATTCACAAGTTCCATACTTACCTATATTCATTTTATTAGTCTAAGCGTATTGATTGCTTATTATTAAAAGATAACTTATATTTATGGTATTTCACTCATAACTCGATTCTAATAATTTTATTTTATCCTATATGGATTTACATTTACATTAAACGCATAATTTGTAACCTCAACGATAATTCATCTCAAAGTGTTATAACGTCCTCATAAAACGCCTGTAATTAACACAAATCTATAAATAAATTTGAAACTATGTTACGTAGCGCGTTTGGTGCTACAGAGTCCATATAGGCTCAGCAGATATTTCTAAAGGAATTTTCGTCGGATAGTAGTTTTATAATTGGTCCTTGACGTGACAGAATCTTTGCGAAACAAACACCTACACCCTACATCATAACACTGATGATCAAAGTTTGTTCGTCTGTCTTGCTTCTACAACAGTTGCAATGGTTAACGTGAATGGGATAGAAAATGAAGGTGAATTGCACACGGTGTGTTCCGACTCCAGCCAGTCTAAGGCCGCTGCGCGCGCGGCGCGGTTCATGCGTTATTCCGTGCGTTTGATAATTCACGATTTGGCGCGACCGTGTCGTAATTCGAAATTCGAAAACGAAGTTTATCGATATTCTTTGACAACTGTGTAACCTGTGTATGTCTTTTAATTTTTGGTGTTTTTCTGTTATCTACCTAATTTTGAATGACTAGTATTGGGACCGTAATGGCGGACGTCCACTTCCCTAAAAAGAAAAAAAAAACATATAAAATGTTTTTCGATGTTTATTTAAAACTTAAATTCGGTGTATTTGAAAAAGGAAATATTTAAAATGTTGAAAAAATTGATATGTTTTTTGTGATACTTGTCTAAATGTATGTTCGTTAATAATGAATGTTAATGATTGTATTTATATTATTATCTATATAATAATTTCAACAATCATATAAGGAAGAACCTTCCTGTAGAACATATTACCATAACAAAACAATTAAATTCAATGACTAAGAAAGTTTAGTCGTAAAAACTATGAGACATGTATTTTGGTGGCATTTAATTTAACAAGTTTACTTTTGTTACAAATAAGGTCCGCTAGTTCACGTTTTAATTATTGTCGAAACTAATCGATCAGCAATTCGTATTTTATATTGATGTTTTTCTTAATATTTTGATATGCTTACTATTATTCTTATATACACGAGGTTATGAGGTTAAACATTTAAATGTGTTAATATTTTATAAGTAGGTTGGTTCTTTTGTTTTAAAAAAATTCAAAACATTAAAATTTTGTAACATTGTTTTCTAGTGACAGGAGTTTTCAAAGTTTGTTAACTTGTCCTCATCTCAACGAACTCCAAAAACTAAGTTCGTTGCTTGTCCTACATTATAATTTTCTACATAAAAGGTTTTTAAAATAGACAAACCGGATAAACTGTTTAAATACAACTATTTACAACACCAGCACTTTATTATCGTTGATTGAGTTATTTCAATTGGAAAAAAAAATTAACAGGTGCCTGTGCTTTAGTATTTACTAATTTATGCGAACAATGGGTCAAATGGTAATGGTATGTTATATATCTTAAAACTATACAAAATCTTTTTTTACATCAAACTATCAATTCACTAGAAGTAAAATCGCTGATTTTCACTTCGTATTGTATTGCTCATCCCAAATGATTTATTGTTTTACTCCAGAATCGGCACAAGCACGTCTGAAGCCACTTCTATTTCCTTCAACATACAGTCATCTCGGCCCCTCGCTCGGATCTTTGTTTATACGAATGTCAGTCGGAAATAGGCCCAACTAGTATCGCAATCTAACTGATCGTATGTGGGACATAGTGATAGATCCGGATATTAAAGCATAGAGAATGCGCAATGCTTTTATATTTTACGATATTTGTATGCACATCACTATTTTAATATTATCTATAATATTATAGACCAGAAATTGTTGTCACCTAATGAAACTTCATCTTCATTTTTTGTGATTTGGATTGACACAACATTTAACTTCTTTCACTAATAGAACAACACTAGTTGTTAGTGTACGTACACTAATACTTCTTTTAGTTCAAACTAGCGATACGCCCCGTTTTCGCGCGGCTGATTTCTGGAATTCGACAACAGTGCCAGCTACTGGATCCAAATGTGTTAATTAGTATTGTTACATCAATAGATGGCGTCAGTAGTCTTTTATAAAGCGATATGATTTTTATATGTTTAGGTTTAATAGACTAATTCCAATAATGTTAATGTCTAGATTACAAAGCCGATCGTTACGATAAATCCGCATGATTTCATAAAAAAAAAAATTGATGACGGCGAGTTTCGGCGTTACGTCTGACCTCCTAACCTACATAAGTTGATTACTATATTTTTAGGTACAGGTTTATTGTGTTATATTTTCAAACCTTTACCAATTTATTATTGTGTAGTCTGGGATTCAGTATGAAACTACACTTTATTAATCCCGGGTCCATTCAATCACAAAAAAAAAACAATGGCGAACTCCCAAACAAATTTTTGACTTTTTTTCCTGCGTCTACAAATGCAAAATATGTAAACAGGATTTTTTTCTTCGGACATACTTCTGCAGAAAGTCAGGAATTCAAAATCGTTACAACAACAACTGGTCAATATAATTATCATATATGTTTATATAGGACAATTAATAGCATAGAGGGAATCTTTACAGAACGCATTAGTATATATAGAAGAGTTTTCTAAATAAAATACACGTCAAACTCGACTGTATGGTATAAGACCTTTGACTGTCTTTAACTGACGAATCGTAACAATTAGTCAAGTAGGTTTTGAATTGTGTATGATGACTTTTTTCCAGACTTCGATAGGCCATAAGCTTGATTAGATAATACGTAGTAAATTATTTATTGATATCTGTAATTGTGACATAAGTGGACGCTTAATAATTCCATCAACAATTTGCCACAACAACTAGTCAATTTAGGTAAGATAATTTTTTTCCAGACTTCGAATAGGCCATATGCTTGATTGGATAACACAAAGTAAATTATTTTATTGATATCTGTAATGGTGATTTAAGTAGACGCTTAATAATTCCATGATATACTCGTATTATTTCGCCGTTGTCCTTTTCATTAAAATCGGTTGGATGGTTTCTAAGTCTATAACGGATAACGGACAAAGGTAGAAACATTTTTTGTGTATTCTACATAAGAATAGATTTAAATTACATATTTGTCAATGTACAAAAATTCCTGTGAATAAAAATTTATGAAAAGTAAAAAAAAATATTTTGAAGACATGTTAAGTCCGCCAACACGCATTGAACACTTTCTTGCCCTAAAGCCTTTCCAGATATGAGAAAGACGCCTGTGCCCGGGAGTGGGATATATATAGGCTGTAACTTTAACTTTATTGATTAAATTTGTTTTGTTTAAATATTACGTATATTATGGATTTATGTTGCTGGTTAAAATAAAGTAACTTTATGAACATGTCCTAACAGACTTTCTCTCTGCATTAATACACTCTACATTAGAGCAGAAAAGAATCTACTGTGATGTTGCGCTGCCCCAGTGTGTTGGTAAACTACACATTTCTTTCGTTTTTTTATTAAAAATCCGAACGTAATATATTAAATCGATCGAACTCAGTTTGTTTACGTACTATGTATGTATTTTAAATTATTGTAGCGCAGAATCGCTGGAGGACCTAAGCACTATGCTCAATGACCTCAATGGTGTCTCCCAACGGATAGGTCTTAAGATGAACATGGACAAAACAAAGATCATTTTTAATGTCCACGTCACACCTATGCCGGTAGTTGTTGGGAGCACTATGCTCGAAGTTGTTGACGAGTACGTTTACCTGGGACAAATAGTCCGACTAGGTAAGTCCAACTTCGACCGAGAGGTCAATCGACGGCTTCAACTCGGCTAGGCAGCGTTCGGGAAATTACGGCACATCTTCTCGTCAGGTATACCTCAAACTCTGAAAACTAAATTGTACAACCAGTGCGTGTTGCCACTTGCACGTGATGACTTACGGATCTGAGACGTGGTCCTTCACTGCTGGCCGTATGAGGACGCTCAAGGTCGATCAGCGAGCTATGGAGAGGCCTATGCTCAGGGTTTCTCTGCGTGATAAACTCAGTATATAAGTATATCCGCAGTAGAACCAGAGTGACCGACATAGCCCAACGGATTAGTAAGCTGAAGTGGTAATGGGCGGCCATATAGCTCGAAGAACCGATAACCGATGGGGAAGAAAGGTTCTCGAGTGGCAGCCTCGTACCGGTAGGCGTAGTGTAAGACGACCCCCCACTAGATGGAGTGGCGACCTGGTAAGATACGCAGGAAGTCGATGGATGCAGGTGGCTCAGGTGGCTCGGGACCGTGCTCTGTGGCATTACTTAGAGGAGGCCTATGTTCAGCAGTGGACTTGTGAATGACTGTAATGATGATGATGATGGGGTGTACTTTACCCAGCCTTTTCGCCTGCTGTGACATTTACGGTAAACGTTTATTTAATCCTTGAGATATCACGGCTAGTGAAAAATTCACCATAATAAATTAATAATATAATTTTGTTTGCGTTTGGCCATATGTAACTAAGGACCATATGTGAAAAGGAGTGGCCCCTAAATCAAAAAATCCTCTGTAAACCTGGTTAGGTGGATGCCCTATACGAGGCCCGACTAACCAATTGGCTGCACGTTGCGTCCCTGTCACTCGGGTTTATTTAGAAACAATACAAACGAATACATTAGTAGTCTCCGCTGCGGTTGCGACACTGTTTAACTGATCCACTAAATTGATTAGGTGTTAAACTTTAAAAATAAGATACATTTTACCTAAAGTCGAAATGCATGTTTTTAAAGTATTTTAAACTATATAAAAGGCTATATACTCTATACAAACATGTACCTCCTGGGCAACTCCTTCCATAATATTTACGCACTTTCCCCAAAATAAACCAAGAAAAGTTATTTAAAATTTTATGACTAATAATATAATATAGATGGGGTTGCCAAACCTTCTATTCGAATAATAAAGTATTTTAAGATCTAAAGCTAAAATAAACAATTTTTTTAAATAAACAGTTTTTTCATGCCATAAAAACATATTTTTGGAGATTCTCGCAGAATTAATAGTATAAAAATGATAAAAAATTAAAAATTTATTATTATTTTTATACTATTTGTAAGAGTATTTTTAACTATTTTTAAGAGCCGTGGTAGCTCAGATGGTTAACGCTCGCTGTAAATATAACAGAACGCGAGTAACCCGGGTTCGATCCCCACCGGCACCAACGAAATTGTTAATTGCAATTTTAAGTGCTGATTTACCACGTGCTCGGCGGAAACCAGCGGACTGCAGCGGACTCGGCAGAAAAACTAGAGGAATAAGAAAAAAAAATATTTCGAAGACATGTGAAGTTCGCCAACACGCATTGGGGCAGCGCGGCGAATACTTCCTTGCCCTAAAACCCTCTCAGAAATGAGGGGAGGCCTGTGCCCAGCAGTGGGACGTATATAGGCTGTAACTTTACTTTTTACTTTTACTATTTGTAAGCCTAACAATTTAAGTCGAATTTAAAATAAATGAAAAGCTCATTTTTATTAAATTAATAGAATCTCTATTTCCGTTTTTATGGCCTGGG